AAGATCCACCGTCTTGGAACCATCAGCGGTCATAGTGAGACAGGTGCTGCCAACGCATGGGACCTGTTGACAGCCATGATTGTCGAGTCGATCAGAATCGGCTACTACCCTGATGTCAAGGGCTGGCGCGCAGAGATGACGCCTGTCGACTTCGTCAGCAAGGCCATAATGCACCTTAGCAACCAGACCGAGACCGATCAGACGATGTTCCACATTGGAGACCCTGACCCAGTCGACATCAGCAAGGTCTTCGAAGACCTCAGTGCGCTAGGTTACCCAACCCAACCGATGGAATTCGAGAAGTGGACTAGCCTCTGGGACGACAAGCGAGGTTCTGCCAAGGGTGGTGACGGAGCTTTTACAGTCGATATTCTCCGAAGCGGTATGCCAAGCGTCGAGTTCCTGAGGGATGTTGTTGTGCTCGATAACGCGAAGACCAGGCCGCTACGCCTCGCAGTGGAGCGCCCAAAGGTGGACCAAACATTACTTGAGACATACACACGGCATTGGTATGCACGTGGCTGGCTTCCAAAGCCGCCTGCGCATCAGGATGCTGCTGGTGGCTCTGCCAGGCTTCCACGAAGAGGCCCTCTTTTCGGCAAGGTTGCCGTAGTCATGGGCGCATCATCCGGTATTGGCGCTGCCACCGCCACTGCTCTTGCCAGGGAGGGTTGCCACGTTGCCCTCGCAGCACGCCGCATCGACGCTCTTGAAGACCTCAAGAAACGCCTTGTGATCCGTGAAGGCAAGGTCATTACGCAAAAGACCGATGTCACCGACAAGGCTCAGGTCGAGGCCCTCGTTGCCGCGGCAGAGAGCCAGCTTGGACCCGTCGATATCTTTGTGAACGTCTCGGGAGTCATGTACTTCACCATGATGGCCAACACGTACACCGACCAATGGAACCAAACCGTCGACGTCAACTGCAAAGGTCTCCTCAACGTCATTTCGTCCATCGTACCCTCGATGCTCAAGCGCGGAAAGGGCCACCTTCTCGCCATCTCCTCGGATGCTGGGCGAAAGGTCTTCCCTGGCCTCGGCGTCTACTCCGCATCGAAGTTCTTCGTCGAAGCTACACTGCAAAGCTTGAGGCTCGAGACTGCTGGAACTGGGCTGCGAGTTACTGCTGTGCAGCCAGGAAATGTGGCGACGGATCTGCTCGGTATGAGTACAGATCAGGAGGCTTTGAAGAAGTTTGGTGAGCCAACTGGCGCGAAGGTACTGGATCCAGAGAATGTTGCTGAGTGCATTGTGTATGCGCTCAAGCAGCCGGATCACGTCTCTGTGAACGAGGTGCTTATTGAGCCGAGAGATGAGCCTATCTAGACGTAGCTGGGTGGTAGAAAGTTGTTTTATATATACTCCGTTATGATTCATGGTTGAGCCGTACGGTAATGGAACTTTGACGGACGTGTAGCGGCTTATCTGTGCCCACATCGTTTGAGGAAACGTGAGATTGACAGTGTACGAAAGAATGATAGATCTCGATGTTTCTTCATCAAATACATGCTCGCTACAAACCAACACAGCCATCCCCATGCTATCGCATGACCCCTCAACTAAGCCGCTGGACTCAACACAAAAGTCACCATACTCCTCCCCAGCACCTGCGCACTAACACTACCCCCATCCGCCGCCACCGTAACCGCAATCTCATCGCAATCATGCCCATTATCCGTGATCCACGCCTTCGCCGTCTTAGCAACAAAACCACTCACCTGTACCGTAACGGCACCCGTCACCGTCCCTCCCTGGATAACCTGCACCGCCAAACTCCCATCCACATTCCTGAACGCACTAACCCGACTTCCACTCGGCCCACCACTCGCACCTACCCTCACAGCACCCGGTCGCACATGTCTACTCCAATTCGCGAATGCCCAGAGACGTTTACTCGGTATGACTGATGTTTTGTCATCCGAGATACGGATCAGCTTGCTATTTGTTGCGCCGCCTTGGACGCCGATCCAGTATAAATATGCGGAGGCATTGGCGGTTGTGAGCGCAGTGTGGATTTTGTTCGCCCAATTTAGGCCCTCGCCTGCGCCGTTGTTGCTGTAGAAGACTGTTGTCCATGCGCCTTGGAGATCGGCGTTCTCGGTTTGCCAGACGTGGTGGGGGGTGTTTATTGGGCTGTTGGGTTGGGATGTGTAGGAACTAGATGATGGTCAGTGTGCGGTTTTGGCGTTTGGGTGGAGGACTTACTGTGCGGTGATCGTACCCAACAGACTGCTCACGCTACTTAGTGCATTCATCATACTCTGCTGACTACTCCATCCCTCGGCGTCACAGCACGTAACCTTTACGCTCGTAAAGTTTGCTTTGTCGAGTGTTGGTCGCAATACTTTGATGAAGTCTGCGGCTTGCTGCCCGTTGCTCCTCATGCTGGCGTAGCTTGTCGTAAGATCTGGTTCGTTTAGGAAACCTAAGTGCGTGATCTCCACCCCGATGTTTTTGTAGTAAGTGATGTACTGGACCAGATAGTTGGCGTACGCTTGTTTCCAATCCCCGCTCGAACAAGTGGCGCCAGAAACCCCACAGAGAGATCCCCCATTTGCATCGTTATTGTTCGTTTTCATGTATCCTGGTGCCGACCACGCGTTTGCATATACAGTGCGCAAGCCGTACGTCTTCACTGCTTCCGTACTGACCCAGACCTGGCTGTTGTCATTGCCGTCAAACACATATTTCGGCGTCGCATTTGGACCACCGGGATTTGTGGGTTGAATGGAGACCATGTGATCGCTGCTCGAATCCGGAGATGAACCGATGCCATTTCGCAGAATTGAGAAGCCAGCGCCGGACGTGCGATTAAAGAGCAGGTCAAGGGCATAGCGTTGGAGTGAGGGCGAGAGGGCATGCATCTGGTTCGCGCGTTGGAAGGTTTCCGATATGCCGAAGCCATCTATAGTCTGGTAGGTTTTGGTCAAGTCGACGGTTACAGTGGAGGACTGTCGGGGTTGTAGGGATGCGTGTGTACTCGCGAAGGCCGTCAGCGCCAGTACGAGGTAGCTGGAGAGCGCCATGACTGGAGTCTGAGGTAAAATGGTCCCTTGGGATACACCTACGTGAATTGCGACAGGCGAAGCTTTTGTATAAGCATCATCTCCATTTAGCCTTTATCCATGTTAAAGAGAACGGCGCAGGGATGCTATTAGTCGAGAGCCCCACAAACAGCTTCAAGACCGAGCTTCCTGTGCAACCAGTATACGAGGAAGATCCTCTGCAAGCTGTTCTCCTCCGTTGCGGTAAAGCTGTGAGTGGTGGAATTACCCGGTGCTTACCTCCGTAAAGTACTATAGCTATCATATATAAATCTCCGAGAAGCGATCTAGAGAAATTGAACCATGTTTTGAGCAGCAAGACCCCACAGTGTCTACTCCATGCCGGTACCCTTGTCCGATATCCTTGGGATCCATCTCTTTCTGAACATTACATAGGGCATGGCACCAGAATCAGTTGCGTCGCTGCATCTGAAAATCGCTGCGGTCGATGATAAGGATCTTCCTACTCGATAAGAGAATGACATGTCGTTAATCGTCGGTGTCTCACTGATCTTTCATATGTAGTATGTGACCGGAAAGCTAGGCGGAACGCAGGAGCGCATGTTAGATCGCGTCGGAACACGACAGACAGGCCATCGAGCGTGTTATCAGTTGTGCCTCTGATACATCTGAGGTGTTGCCGACCTTGCAGAACTGGTGCTTAGCCTTCGTGATGTTGAGAAGTGATGAGGCCTCACCCAGGGTCGAGGCTGTCGCATGCAAGCCACGCTAGTGGCTTGGCAGTCGTCAATCCAACATTTCGCGGAGGAGTGACCGCCCTCACAGCAACAACAACCCACCATGGCCGACCTAGCAAAAGTAGACAAAGCGGCGATCGCGCTCGAAGCCCCTCAAAATGTCGAAGAGGAGGTCACCACCGTATCCGTACCGCCGAAAGTCGAAAAGGCCGAAGCGTCAGACACCATGAGCGCGAATGGAGCGTCAGCGCAAGATGCGATCACAGTCCACGAAGCCGCTTCGACGAAAGATAGCTCTCTCAGTGCGACCACAAACCCCGACCCGAAAGCTGCGCTCGCTGCGCGAATGGCCCGCTTCAAAGCGCTCCAAGCAGCCAAAGTAAACGGGCGTAAAGAGACAGAGCGCGAGGTTCGCGACGCCGAAGACCGCAGTTCTCGCCTCGCGCAAATTTCCAAACTTGGTGCTTTGAACGAAAAGGCCTCGTACAAACTTCTCAAATCCGAAGACCCTGATTTTGAGCGCAAGAGGAATTGGGACTACACAGTTGAAGAGAGCGAGAGCTGGGACAAGCGGCTGAAGAAGAAGTCGAAGAACAGGGAGGGAGTCGCGTTCGCAGACTACAGGAATGAGGCGAACAAGGTGTACAAGAGGCAGATCGGTCAGATGAGCAAGGTCGACCTGGAGGCGTATGCTGAGGAGAAGGCAAGGAAACTGCAGTCGCAAGTATCCTCCGGACTTCTGCAACTCGTCGAAACGGATGCCGGTGAAATCTACACAGTCGACAACCAAGGACGCATAAACACACCAGTCGACGAAGCGTACAGCCACGATCACAAGCCATCGAAGGAAGCCGTGGACAGGCTAGTGGAAGATTTGGAAAAGGGCGAGCGCGCCAGGTTGAAGGCCAGGGCAGCGAGGGGCATACGCGACTCCGAGGATATGGGCGATGTCACGTACATCAACCAGAAGAACAAGCAGTTCAACGACAAGCTCTCGCGCTTCTACAACAAATACACGAGCGAGATACGGGACAGCTTCGAGCGAGGAACAGCGATATAATTGGGGCAAAACAACAATATTGTACTTATACCCTGGCATTCTTGCTCTCGAGGGCTGGCGTTATATCATGCAGAAAGGCATCGGGGGTTTGGCGTTATTACTATTGCATTACGGCACTAGATTCCATCACCAATACGGCTGAGGACATTGGTTCAAGTCTGAAATATACTTGTATTCCTGGATATCATGCGCATCGCTCTACATCATACTACTCAACACCCTATTCACGTCCTGACCCGGCTCGGGCTTCTTCATCGCCTTGCTCGTAGCCGTATGCTGCGAGAACTCAAGCCTTCCCTTCCGCCTCTTTGGCTTCCCATCTACTTCCTGTACCGCTGCTGCTGCCTCAGTCGCCGCATTATCACCATCGACATCCTCTCCTCTCTTCCGCCTTGTAGCCTCAATACCACTAGCCATCTTGCCTCTCTCCACGTTCTCCAAGAACGCCTTGTTCTCCTTCTTGCCCTGCGAAATCTCAAACCTGAGTCTTGCCGCGCGCTCCGCGTTCTCATTCTGGATCTGCTCGACCAAGTTGTGCCACTTGACGCCGCTCAAGTACCGAATATTCCACACTTCGTCATGCCACCTGCCCCTTTTCTTGCCGCCCATTGTTTGCGCATTCAGGTTCTCGGCCACGAACTTGGCGTCGCGCTTGTGTAGGAATTCGACCCAGCCGTCGAGGAAGAGCTTGCGACGCGTGCCTCCGTTGCGCAGGCGCTGGGTGCGCGATGTACTGTCTTCTGGGGTGAGGAATATGCGGCCTACGGCGCCGTAGGGTGTTAGAAGGGAGCGCATTACGGCTGGCTTCATGAAGGGTGGCACGCGCGAGAGGTATATGACGCCGGACTTGTCTTTCTTGAGTGATGATGGTGGCAGAGCCTTTCCGAGTTTTGTGGTCTGTAACCTCATCTCTGAGGGAAGGGACGCAGCGAGTTTCTCGAGATGTGCTAGTTCGGCGCTCTTGGAGGCGAAGCGCTTCGGTGCGTGTTGCTCATCATCTTCTTCTCCATCTTCGGCACCGTCTTCGTTGAAGTCTTGTTCTTCATCATCTTCCAGTTCCTCCGCATCGCCCTCGGAGTCGGAGACGTGATCTATTTTTTGCCGTTTTGACGTAGGTAGCATGCGCGCTCTGCTTTCCTCCTCGGAGTCATAGCCTCTCTCCTCGTCTTCGCTTTCCTCAACGTCGAGGTATTCGTTTCGTTTGCGCGTCGCCATTGCTGCGCGGAAAGTAATTCTTTTGCGGATCGCAATATGATAGACTCTTCTCGGAGTACGTAATCGTCTTTCGGTCGGGAAACGCCTGTCGTGACGTGGATATTCGGGCTGTAAACGGGCGCATTCGTCCGCTCGAAACTTTTGCGGAGAAGTCGCGGAGGTCAACTTTTGGGTGGGGCCTGACCTAGCGCCTTGGCACTTTGTCGCGCAACTCATCTGCCAGCCTCCATCACCTTTTCACATCCACACCCACCACACCCACAAACGAACTCACCGACCCGCGCATCACACCTTGCTCGAAATCCCACCAACGAACACACCTACTCGCGCATCACACCTGTCTCGCAAGCCCACCAACAAACTTCACCTACCTGCACACACACCACACCTCTCGCAGCCATGGGAGGAGATCTCAATTTGAAGAAGTCGTGGCATCCCCACTTGCGCAAGAACCAGGAAAGAGTGTGGAAGGAGGAGAAGTCTGCGCTCGAGGAGCGCAAACTGATCGAGAAGTTGCGCAAGGAACGTGAAGAGGAAGCGGCGATCGAGCAGCTGCAGAGATTGCAAGCTGAGAATGGCGGCAAGGTCGTACAGCGGAGGGTTGACTGGATGTATTCAGGCCCGAGCGGCGATGCCGGCGTCACAGAGGAGCGCGAGGGCTACCTTTTGGGCAAACGCAGGATCGACAACCTGCTGAAGTCGAACGATACACAAAGCCTTCAGAAGGGCGCTGCAGTCGGCATCGACGCCGCCACGGCCGACACGAATGCGAACACTGCTCGCGACACACAGAAGAAGGTCCTCCAAGACCCGCTCCTCATGATTCAGAAGCAGAAAATGGAGATGCAGTTGAAGGCTATGAAGGACGCGCAGAAAGAGGCTAAATACGCCGAAAAGCGCGAGAAAGAGAAGGAGCGAGAGAAGAAACACAAGCACCGGGACAGGGAGCGGAGTCGGGAGCGCGAGCACAAACACAGCAGCCGACGCCATCGGTCACGGTCACCACGCAGGAGGGAAGACCGCGAAGATCGTCGCGATCGCGACAGCCACCGTGACAGCCACCGTGACAGCCACCGTGACAGCCACCGTAGACGGTCGAGATCCCGCTCACGCTCACCATACCGCAAACACAGCAGCCGACGAGACCGCACTCGATCACCACGCAGGAGGGAGGATCGTGGCGATCTTCGCGACCGCGACACATACCGACGATGGGACCGTACACCACCGAGAAGACAAGTCGAAAAACAAGTCGAAAGCAAAGCCGATGATACGGAAGCCCGTCAGAGCGCCGCTGACCGCCTAGCTGCAATGCAAGCAGAGGCGACATCCCTAGAGGAGCAGCGTGCTGAGCGTGTCCGACAACAAGAGATCAAGGATGCAGAGGAAGAAGAGAAGCACAAGAATAATATGGATGGAGGACGCCGTTTCATCTCGAGCGTGCGTGGGCAAGCCTCAAACATGGACCTGGGTGATGCGATCGCTCGCGGACGGGGTAACCTGAGGGCTGAGATTGATGCTTAAGTTTTCTATGAGAGCTTGGAGTAATGTGCTTGTGATGAATAGATAGTAAATTGATACCCTGGCTTTTCTCGCTAGAAATGATTCCACCCTCGCTACCTGAGTTTAGGAGACTTCTGTCACCCCGACTGCTGAATAGCTACTTGATTTGGTATTTCTGCGACCTGTTCGACAAAAAAGAGTTCTAATATTTTGCTATAGCGACAGTATATCTCTCGCGAACCATAGGGCCAATTGTTGTCTACAAAGGGGAACTAAGGAACCAAGATACGGAAGCGTGAACCTCCCAAGTAGCTTTTCGCCTGTTGAAATCTCCCCAGTCCTGAAGTGAAACGCTACAACCCGCAATGAGCTTACACCCAGCTCAGCAAGCTTACTTGTGTACCATTTGATCCCAATCCCTGGATCACCGTTCATAAGCCGCTGTAAAGGATGGTAACGGCAAGGGCAGTCGCCAGAGCAGCCAGACTTGGTGAACTGATCGGTGCCGCAGACTTGGCGTCAAGCCGCTCAAGACAGTAAGTGACACTGTAGCTCGAATTTTGACCGGTAGGCGCACAAGCGAATGGAGTGTCGTATCCGTACTCCTTTGTCTCGCATGTGGGCTTGTTCTGCTCAAGCTCGTCCATCTGGTCTTTAGTATACAGAGCATTACCAACGATGACTGGACCGGTGCAGTTTAAGGGGTTTCCGATAGCGCCGAGCACGATGCTGAGGAGTTTAGCTGGGAGGGCTTGCGGTCCGGGGATTGCGGCAGCGACGGCGGCTATTCCTTCCACAAAGTCTGGTAACGCGTTAGTAGTAATGGGGCACATATCGACGAACTGCTTACTGAAAGCCAACTCCTCATCTTCATCATCTGTGTTCAAGCCGCCAATGGCTACAGACAGGTTCAAAGCAGCATCGGGAACATCGATCTCCTGCGTGTACTTGACGGTATCGTTTGCCGCAACGATAGCATCGGCTTCGACCTCGCCAACAAGCCAAGAGTTCTTGATGGTGTTGCTGCCTGCTGTTGAGGCGATAGCGAGAAGCAGGTCGTCTTCTTGCAAGTCACGGGTGACCCCGACGTGTACTTCCTGGATGGTGAAACTGAAGCGGACGGCGATGACGACGTTTGCTAGGAGCAGGAGGGATAGCAGTACTTTCTGCAGAGTGAACGAAGACATAGTAGCGAAGGCAGGAGGGTATCAATCCTAAGAGAAATGAACTGTAGGCGTTGGAGGAAACTTGACTGGGAAAACTCTAGCTAATGCAGATAAGTCTCAGAAGCGGGGGTAGTCTCAGGCTGGAATTTTCTCTATAAGAACGAGCATCGTGCTCTACTTATGTTCGTTTGCTCAGCCTGACCTGAAGGGTGAGTATGTCAAGGCAGTCCCTTGGGGATCGGATTTGCCGACCGGATATCCGTGACAGAGCAAGGGAAAGCGAATGTGAGGTTTACTTGAGCCTCTTGCGGCTACCAAGAGGCACTGTGCATGCATCTTTGCCAATCAACGACGCTGGCCCCCCAATAACACACAGCATAGCGTGCTGATGGTGTGATGAAGAGACATCGCCGGAATTGTAGAGATGATCGAAGCTCAAATTGACTCCAACGCCGTGGCTTTGGGGCCGAGTCATTATGCACAGGTGCCAAGTGCGTATTAACGCCTGATGTTGTATGCCATGAGCATCTGGAGTCCATCTGAAGTCGGTCCTAGAGTACTTGAAGTGGCTGATGTGATCTGGCCGACAGCTTGTATAGCCCGAGAAGCTTCCTCAACAGAAATTCCGTCCATCTTTCATGAGTCTGAAACCATTGGCGTTGAATGCTGCGGCGGGTCGGAGTACCTCGATTTTCAGCCTTGCTGTGCGGTGCTTTTTGCGCCAAGGAAGAATTGCTGACACCGCCCCCATTCAGTTCAGGAAGTAGAACTGAATGGAGCAAAGTGCTTCGTATCTATGCTACACCCAGCATCTAGCCTGACAGGGTACTCTAGCGTTTAGCATCATTCGCGGCAGACTAGCTTAAGCGGAGTAGGATTGCTAGCGATTGCGGCCTCAGCCTTGTGAGCCGCAACATGAACTCAGACCGATGTGCCGGGAATAGCTGACTAGTCAGATTATGTTCTTGGTGTTCCACAGTCAGCGCTAGCCCATCTATGGCAGGTACCAGGCTGAGGGAGCAACTGTCTCTAGGTAACATGGACGCATCCGGCGATGCTGAGAAGGTATACCATGACGCCACACGCAGTGAGCCGAATTTCCAAGCCGTTTTGATGAATGACTGCTGTTAGACACTTGTTCGGCATCTGCAAGACCGGGCACTAGAAGTACGGCGACAAATCTGGTGGACTTCTGCTCCTCAAAATACCTTGGTGCAGGCGGCACGTGCTTTGTTACCACAAGAGTAACAAGCATAACCAACTTCGTCCTTGTCAAGCGATCAACGCCAGGTTGATTTCAGTGCATCTAATCTGCATAGCTGGCATCTTGAAAGCGGGTCCTCGACCGACCGTGTGGCCCGTGGCTGCAGCGCCCGGAGCTACCAAGAACTATAAATATGTTTTCGTGATGAGAGAGGCAATAGGGCGCCATGCCCGGTGCCGGAGCTTTCTAGCATAATGAATGCGATGTCAAGTGGCGTATCACACGCAGATGACGTTGATGCTTGTGCCAACAGCCAGGATGAGGCTTTGGTGGCCTAGTCTCTCGATGTCGTATTGTTGATGAGAGGAGGGGTATGAAAGGATTGTGCGAAGTGGCTGTAAGAAGCGCTGGAAGTTTCATATCCGCACATCTCCGCAGACTTGAAATCGCTGAAGAGGCTGTCTTGAAGTCGCATAGTCATTAAGGAGCTGAGGATAGGGCCAAGGTGTATTGACAGATATGGAAGATGGCGACATTTGCGCAATCGACGTCTATACGCGCGACACTGGACCTCGACTCCAGGAGACCGACGGGTTGAAAATATCGTGATCGTGAGCCGGTTCACGTCGGGCCAGATGAGCATGTTTCAGGACCGGGAAACGAAGCTGACAAGAGTGTTAAGTATACCCCGGGGCCCCTCGTATACAAATTGCGGGTTCACCAGAAAGATAAGTGATCTCGATCATCCTGTAGTTCCTGCACCGTGTAGCGAGCAGGAGAAGTCGTAAAATCAACAAAGACACTTGTCTCGTTAGATTCATGGTAGGGCTGGTCAAATTCATCCCAGGGATCAGTGCTCAGGTACGTCCCGTTCATGACAAGTCCTAGACTGGGCAGCTTAGGCCATTTATTTCTGGTCCCTAGTAGACATTAGCACCGCTTGATGATCGCCTAACCAACGGCCACTTACCTCTGTCGTCTCTGATTGTCAACGTAATGTCAAACGTGATTGATGATGTCTCGTATTGCTCTTTGATCTGTACCAGCGACTGAAGTCGTTCTAGCAGATCAAATTCATCCTTTCCGCGTTGGTAGTATACCCAGGCGATGTGTACATCTTTCAGCGA